ACATTACGACAATGTGACAGAGGTTGAAGGTTGGCTGCAAGAGCAGGTCCAACTATGTTTACAATGCGTTTTTGCACCTTGTCTAAAAGAGAAAGGGCATCATTAGAAGATCCGCCCCAGATATGGCAACAGTATTCCATACAAGGCCAGATTTGAGATTTATAGAGATAGAGAATAGAATCCAGAGTAAGAAAGTGACGAGCTCGATAAAGAGAAGCAACTTTAGCAGATGCTAATTTTGCAACGGATTTGATATAAGGTTTCCAAGAAAGATCAGAAGTAAGAGTTAATCCTAGAAGACGAAGGGTAGGAGACTCATCAAGTACATTACCGTTCATAAATATAGGAAGGTCTAAATTATTACGATAATGAATGGCCAAAAAAAATTGAGTTTTATCTGAATCAAAGTTCACCAGCCACTGTGAGCCCCATGCTGTAGCAGAAGTGAGATCCTTTTCGAGCTCAGATGCCCCCTGCAAGCAATCAGAGGGAGTTGGCTTCTTATCGTGACAAGAATAAATGGTAGTATCATCAGCGAACAATGCCACCTTAGATGTCAGAATATCTGGAAGATCGTTAATGTAAATTAAAGAGTATAGGGCCAAGGATTGAACCTTGAGGAACCCCTGAGGTTACAGAATAAGAAGAGTGCTGTCCATCAAGGACAACTTTTATACTACGATTGGAAAGGAAGGATTCAATAATCTTAAAGATGTTTCCAGATACACTGTAAGAGGAAAGCTTATGGAGAAGACCAGCATGCCAAACTTTATCAAACGATTTAGAAATGTCAAGACCAATGGCCTTAACCTCTCCACCTTTATCTAATGCGCGATAAAACCTATCGGTTATTACTGATAGCAAATCAGCCGTAGAACGAGAAGATTGAAATCCATATTGATGATCATAAAGTAGGTTATGAGATTCGAGATGAGCGATTGTTTGTTAATTAAAGATTCAAAAACCTTGCTTATGATAGGAAGAAGACTAATGGGACGGCAGTTAGATGAATCGGATCGCTCTCCAGAATTTTTAAAAATAGGGATAACAGATGCTGCTTTCCATCAGGCTGGAAAACAAGACTCTGATAAGCACTTGTTAAATAGTTTTGAAAGGATAGACGACAGCTTCTATTTTTGTTCTATATATCCTAATGTTAATCCTTTTGCCACTTTGCTATCTGGAAAAATACTAGTAAATAATTTGCTCAAATCAGCAGATGGATTGTTTGACAATCCATTCATAACAGTTGCAAGAACCCATCTTATTTCAGATCTTGTTTCTTAATTGAAAGTAACAACAAGTTCTAAAGTTTTTTGACCAACTGCCAGGTGTAGTGTTGGTGTCATAGTAGAATATTTTACAACAGGTTTGAAAAAGTGACTTTTGGATTTAGCTAAAACATTAAGTTGGTGTTTTTTACCTTCATTATAACTTTTAACAGCCTGAACCCCCATGTTTGACAAATTAAATGTTTTACAACAGCTCCTACATCTAGTAACTTGTCAGTCTTACTATATCTAGTAAGTTGTCAGTCTTAATAAGCCATTCTTTATATTCTGGGTGATTTAGCCAATCATTTGAAAAAATTGTTTGATCCATTTTAATTATTAATAACTCTAAAAAAAATATATTCTTCTTACAAACATATTACATATATTTATAGATTTAATGATGAAAGATCATAAATTTATATATAAAACATTTTTATATAACTTATTAAATCAAACTTTACTCAGTATTTTAGTATTTCCCAATTAAGCCCATAATAAAAAGTCTACTTAAATTAATTAAATATCTTAACTATAAAATATAAATTCAAATTTAATATTGAAAATAAGCAAACCATACAAAATTAACATCAAATGTAAAATCTCATAAAAAATTATGATAATATATATATTACGAATTTATCATAACTTAAATTATTGTTAATAATTTAATAAAACATTTTCAAAATTGGAAAAAATTTTTCCCTGAGTTTTCCCTGATAATTAAATAAATAAAAAAAATCCCTGAGTTTTCCAAGTTTTCCCTGGGATTCATCCTATTTCCAGGTTTTTCAGGTTGAGTGGTAACCCTGTATATGTATACATATTAACACTAAAGTCAAGAACTTATTTTTTTATAGTAGTTACAACCTTCTTACAATGTTTTAACTCTCAAACTCAAACCTTGACGAACAAGCCTGATATAAAGAAAAACAAGTTGAGCACAGTACTACTAGGGACGTGGTGGGAATACAACTCAGAACTTTTCATTTATGTAGCAAGTGCTAGATTACTACTGCATCTTGGACTTTCACATTCATTAACTCGACTAGCATTAACTGACTTGTGTCAAAATTGTCTTTAAAAAAAACGCAACTCGTTCCCTATAACATGATAATTTGATCCTTGTCTTATCTTAATCGTTTTGATTTTGATTGGTTTTTATCTAGTAATTTCTAGTATATTTCGAATATTTTAATGAAAGTAGATTTTAATAAGAAGTAGTTTAGTAAAGTAGTTTAGATCATGAAATTAGATTTTCCTTAATTTTCCTTGTTGGAAACTTCATTAAATCAATGTTTGTAATATTTAAATTATTAAAAACTGATTAAAACTTATAACTATTTTTTACTTTTGCTCTTTTTTATGACTTTTTTATTTACTTTATGACTTTTATACCTAAAGTAATTCAACAAAAGAGTAAATGTTTAGATATTTAAAACTCTTTTATATGCTTTTCATTTATATGCTTTTCATTTATATTTATTTCATTTATATGCTTTTTAACTTTTTTTAAATTTTAATGTATTGGTGATCACTATGGTGATGGGTGCTATATAATCAAATGTATGGTATGTTGTCTTTCTAAAGGGACTTTTTTTTGTGTGTAATTTTTAAAAATATCATTAAGAGAGAATATCTATCTATCTATATATCTAAACTATCTTCCTTTGAGACACCTCTTCCACAATATCATCTAAAAATAGATATGCAACCTTCAAAAGAAAATATGAAATCATGGCAGTTATATAAACTGAGGATATGGGTATTGGGTACAATGCATATCTCTAGAAAGTTTGCTTTGTAAAGATAAAATTTTAAAAAACATTTTTGAAATACTTTGTATTAATAGGTCAATACAGTATTGTAGATCAATTTAAATTTTATTTAAATTGAAAAAAAGTTTTTTGAAATTTCCATCCACCGACATAAAGTTTAAATTTTTTGTTCGCAAATATTGACATGAAATATTAATTGACAATAAAATTTTGACTAATAGGAGCACTTTAAAATCATGTCTGGAAATAATTTGACAACGTCAATTTCATTTGACTTTTGAATATTTATATACTTTAACATTTTCATTTCATTTATTTTTAACTTTGATTAGGTCTGTGCAGCTTTCTTTACAATTTTTCTTCACAATTAGAATAAGTGGATTTAAGTTGTTGTGATGCAACAACATAATTTAAATGTTGTTGCATTTCTTGTATCAACTCACCCAATTTTTTTTATTTTATTCTTATCTTCTTTTTGATATGTTAATTTATATCTAGGGTCAAAAATAAATATAGGAAGACATAAATAAAGATAGAAAGACATAAATATTTATTATGTAAAAATGTACCAGTTTTTTGTCTACCGACTCTAATTATTCAACTAAAGTAATTATACTTAAAAAAAGCCTCATATACTAATGCTTGATTAAAAAATTCTGACATATTCTTCACGTTTGCTGAAATTAACAGTTAATGTTTTGAATGGCTCTAAAATATGAAAAATTTTATTTAATAAACCCCATTGGAATGAACTTAATGTTGATTGGATAGCATGATCAGTTGCATAGGTTGCTAAAGGAACTCTCTGGTCAACCATTCTTTATATAGTATTGTAGGAACTATTCAATATTGTAGTAACATCTTGAACTAAACTAACTTATTTTAAAGATTTTAAACCTTTATGTAAATACTCACTCATAATTTTTATGAGATTTTAAACCTTTATGTAAATACTCACTCATAATTTTTCAGCAAAATGTTATTGCTGAAATGTCATTGCCAAGCACCTGTGAAACAGCTCCAATATTTAACACAGCTCCACAGTCAGGTGAGCTGTTTAAACATTGAGTTGCTTTTTTGTTGTGTTCTATTGTGTACCTTCAGAATCAAATAATTCTGATGCATCTTTGAGTTGGTATTCTACCTTGTATCAAAACACAAATAATTGTAGCACATGACAATTTAAAACCTTCAGAAAAGATTTGTTCTTCAGTTAAACGATGAAACTGGTTGCAGTTGAAGTACATCCAGCATATATGGTAATCTTGCAGTAAATAATTGTGAAATTAACTTCTCAATCAGCCAGTGCTATGGGATCTCAAAGCGGGTGAGGCCAATTTATAGTTTAGTTAATAGCTTGCTACTTGAAATTTTAATGGCTTATATTCAGATTAAAATTTATTCAATATTAATTCAATAAAATGATTTACAAATTTTAAAGTCCAACAAAAATCACAAGTGTGGATCCCAGAAAATGTTGTAAAAACAACATTTTCTGATATATAATAAATTTGTTATATCATATGTTATATATTATAACATATGATATAATAAATATAAACATTTAATGAAGAACTAAGTGTGTCTGGGATCCACAATTAGTTCTTAACACATAATATGTGTTAAGAACTAAGTGTGGATCCCAGACATTGCATAAAAATTATTTTTTTGCAAAAAATTAAAAAAAGCCATTTTTTCATCCCAGACAATGTTGTAAAAATGACTGAAAAATGTTACTTAAACACCCTGAAATTTTGCAGGACTTTTACTTAAACCCAATGGACAAAAACAAGCCATATTGAGTAATATACAAACTTAAATTTTTTAGTATGGTTTTGCAGATCTTTTATATAAGTTATTTAAATAAATAAACTTTTTTACTCATTTTGGTAATTAATAAATCACTTGCCATTTGAACAATCTATAATAAAACAATCATTAAAAAATTTACCTGCATTACATAACTCATAACTGCCCAAAAGTAGTACGGGTTCTTTGGAAATGCTTTGTACAAACTCATTGCCGCCTTAATATATATTAAACATTTTCTCAGCAGATTTTTTGACCAAAGTATCAAAATAAAATACTTAGCTAAAAAAGAAGTTAGCATATTATATTACTTATTGTGTTTTACCTTCTGTTGTTTGGCATAGTCTTCAATGCGAACACACGCCATAAAAAGATGACTCAAAAATTCTTCATTATTCGGAGACTGTTCAACAGCCTTCTCATATATTTGAACAATCCCTTCAGCTATAACACATAATAAATCCTTGATTTATAAAATAAAATAGTTTAAACTATATTCAAATTGTTTAAAAAAAAAATTTAATAAAATAACTGAAAAAAGATTTTTTGTAAAAGCCAAAGATTGTTATTTTAAAATAGATGTTTTCAAGTTAAATTTTTTAATTACTCAACTAAACAGCAATTATATAAATATTCAATCTATTACATTCATTCATCATTGATTTCATAATTAAGATTCTCCAATATACACAATATTGAGAATCTTATATTCTTAAGCAGAGCTTTTTAACATCATCTGTAATGAAATCATTTAATTTTCTTACTTCTATATCAAATTTTCTACTAAAATTGATATCGCTTTGCATGCTAAAACCTAATCATCTACATCCTTACACTCTGCATGACTAAACCATCATATCCTTTTTCAAAAAAAATAAAAAATTCTACACTAAAAACTAACAATATCAAAAGCACCTTGTATATCATTACATATATTATGAACCTATTTCTATCTTTAACATGCTGTAAATTTATTGTGAACCAATATTATGAATCAATAGAGTTTGTTCTAACATATTTTCCAACAGCCTTAACAGGGCCCAGTAGTGCTGTAGCAATAAAGTAGTCCACAATGCCTTAGTGATATAGCCATAGAATGCTAACTTTAAAATCAGAAGTTCTGAGTTCAATTCCCACTACATACCTAGTAATACTGTGCTCAACTTGTTCCTAACAAAACAGTTTAGTTACTCTGCACAGCGGTCTTGTTTTTCTGCACAGCGGTCTTGCTTCTTTGCACTGTGGTTTGTCAAGATTTGTGTTTCAGAGTTATTGGGTTAAGAGAGGGTTGTTAAAAAAGTAAAATTATAAAATAAAAAATAAAAATAACTTAAACAAATAATAAGTGTATTACTAGAATACTTCCACAAAAGTTACATCCTCAACTGTAGTGGCATCTGACACTCACATCTACTGAAGGCTTCAACATCTCAGCCAATACACCAGAAAGACCAGTGCTTCAATACAGGTTATCAGTTCAACTACTCCATTAACCTTAGTCACTGCAAATGAATCTTTATTCTTTATTTAGCAATTTTTCAAAATGAGCTATCCACCTTGTTTGTGCCTCAACTTCAAGTATTTTTTAATCTAACCCTCAGCAAAAAATATCCCATCAATTTACATCCAAACAAAAACTAATACCTAATCAACTTTAATCCAACTAAAATCCAGCAAATCAATTAGAATGCACCAGCAAATCGATTAGAATATACCAGCAGATCAATTAGAATATACCAGCAAATCAATCAGAATATACCAGCAAATCAATTAAACTCAAAAAAAATTTAGTTACGAGACTAATTATAATAAAATTATATTATCTTTTATCTTATTTTATTCTTATTTATTATCTTGCTTACTATCTCCAATTATTTTGTTTCTTATTTACTGTTTATTTTTTATCCTTAACAACAAAACTGTTTGTTAGTTAGAATGTTTCTTGCTAAAACTGTTTGTTAGTTAGAATATTATATACTGCAATTTGTACAAAATTTTGTATACCTTAATAAATATTTACACCTTTAATAAATAAATATTTTATCATTATTATTAAATTGAAAACCGTAGTGTAAAAATTACACGGAAAGTAATCACATAAGAGATTACTTTATAACAGTTAAAATTTACTTTCATCTTTTATCAATATTGTTTTTAAAAGAGTTTATTGTCTTCACATTAACAGTTTTATGATCTAAATTGTTCCAATTGTTACAAACTTGATTTAAGAAAAAGTTATGTCTTGCGTTACATTTTGGAGTGTATTCTCTTGAGAATCTGTAGTTTTTATTTCTGCTTTTTTTTTCGTCTAATAGTCTGTTGGTTATAAAATTTATTGGTTTTTGTAATGAGATTTGATCGTAATAATAAACTATTCTATACATTTGTATAAAGTCTCCACGAATTCTTCTTTTCTCTAATGATTCCAGGTTAAAAAATTTAAGTCTGTTTTCATATTTCTTTTTTTTTTTAAAGATAGGACCATTTTAGTCGCTATTTTTTGAACTTTTTCCAAATGATCTATATCCTGTTGTTGGTTAGGATTCCAACACAGTCTAAATGTGGTCTTACAAGTGATTTATATAATACTTTCATAGTGCAGACATCCAAATTTCTAAAAGCTTTATTAACCATTCCCAAAATCTGATTTGCATTATTTGCTACTTATATGACTTGATTGTGTCATTTTAGTTTATTTTTAATAATAAAACCCAGATCTTTCTCTATTTCTGTTTCTTGTAGTACTATATGTTGATTATAATTATTCATATTTATCATGTAATATTTGAATTTTTTGTTTCTTACTCCGAAGTGCATAACTTTACATTTTTTTTTCATTGAAACACATACACCATAGGTCTGCCCATTGTTGCATAGATATATTATCATCTTGAAGCTTTGATCTTTCGATTCGTTGTTTATTGAAGCAATTAATTTGCTATCATCGGCATATAGTTTTAATGGAAATTTTAGTGTCTTGTAAGTCATTAATATATATAACAAACAGAATTGGTCCTAAAACTAAACCTTGAGGGACACCGCTTAAGACCTCTCTCCTCGGATGTATGCTTACCCAAAACCATTCTTTGTCTTCTATTAGATAAGAAATTGTGAAGCCATTTAACCAATTTTTTTGAAAAGCCATAATTTTTTATCTTTAATTTTAGGTGTGAAACTTTATCAGAGGCTTTTGATAAGTCAAAATATACAACATCTACTGAAGCCTTATTGTTTAGATGGTTTGTTTACTTACTTACTTGAAACAATCAATTTCATTGGTTGTTTTAAGTAAATTGGTTATACATGATTTAGAAGGTACAAAACCATGTTGATTTTTATTTATTAGATTGTTTTGTGGTAGATGATACATTATTTTATCTCGAATTATTCTTTCAAACGTTCTACAAACAACTGACATAATAGATATTGGCCGATAATTTGATAGATCTAATTTACTACCTCCTTTAAAAATGGGTGTCACATTCACTAGTTTCCATTCTTCAGGAACTATTGCATCACTGTCACTTTTTTAAAAAATTAAAGATAGTGGATATGACAGAGCTACATTGCATTTCTTTAAGATTAACGGATGAATTTTATCAGGTCTAATCAATTTATTTTTGTTTAACTTTTCTAGGTGTTTTGCTATTATTATAGGAGAGAAGTCTTCATTATTTAGGTGCACGTTATAAATGATCTTGGTTTAAAATATGGTAACACAACAGATATTTTTTCTTGGATGAACACAGAATAAAAATGTAAACCCAGAATATTTGATATTTTACTTTCGTCCTCATGCAATTGTCTATTCTTATCTCTTAATATTTTAATTTCTTGTTTGGGTGATTTATTTTTATTAACATAAGATAGAATAGTTTTTGGATTTGTTTTAGATTTTTTTGCTATATTAGATTCATATTCATAAACTGATGTATCAATTAGTTCTTTACACATTTTACTTTGAATTATATATAGTTTCTTTAAAAAGTTTGATTTATTTGATGATAAATATTTGAACCACAGTCTTTTTTTCAAATTAATTTCTTTCTTTAATTCTTTAGTTAACCATAATGGACCAATCTTTGACTGAACATCTATTGATGGCACAAGTTTTGAAACTGTTTTCTTTAATCTCGTTTATTTGAAAAATTGGTTTAAAAACTATTTGAAAAAGAAATTAATTATTTAATGTTGTAACAAAACTGTTTTCATGTGTATTTTCCGACAAATATTCACTAAAACCATATTTGTTCCATTTTATTTTAGGAAAATTAAAGTCTCCAGAAGACAATCTACTTCTTTTCGACTAACTTTTTTGCTTCATAAATTACATCATTTAGCTGGTTATTTAGTTCTGCTGTTGCATTTGGTGGTCTATATATGCAACCTAGTAATATTGTTTCATTTGCTAATTTTATTTTGCACCAAATATGCTCAATAGATGTTTATAATCTCTTCTATATAGTGTACCCAGGTAAATCTAAATATGTACAAGATTAAAACCAAGTTTTGTATACCATTATTAAGTCAATATTTAATGTAATAACTTCACTAATAAATAGAGATAATTTAATTGAGTTGTTAATAGAAGTTGTGATTGTATTGCGTTTATTTACACCTTTAATAAATATTTTACTTAATAAATAAAGACATAAATTAAATCTTGGTAATCTACATAAACCTAAACAATTGCACATCGCACATCTATATAAATTACATCTTTGCACATATAGTCATATTATATTAACAGTCTTATCCGTTTGAAATTTAATGCTAGCGCACAAAAAAGCGCTGACAGGATGGTTATTTTTAAGTTAGCCTGCACGGTTTAAAAAATTCATTTTTTTCTGCTATTTAAATTAAAATAAAAATGGCAAAAAAAATACTTTGAATAAATACTAGATAAAATAATTTAAATAAAAAACTGGTAAAAAAAAGCCTTTTTTTTAATAAAATAATTTTAAAAAACTGGTTAAAAAAAAGCTATTTTTCATAAAAGTTGAACAAATGAACAAAAAAGTTTTGTTTTGCAATTTAAAAAATAAAAAACATTAATTTTTTGCTGGCATGTGGGCAAGCACAAAAAGACTTAAGTGTTGGCTAAACGGAGAAGACTGCATTAACTATTATATATCTTATTTTATTTAACAAAATTTCTGTGTGACTTGTCCTTAAATTATGATTCTATCATATGTAGAATTGTTTATCAAGGTTTGCTTTACAGAGCTATAGAGCGGCAAGAGTTAAAAAAAATTTTGCATTCAAAGTTATATAACTTAAAAAAAAAAACATTCTTGGGGAGATGAAAACATTTAAAATTGTCTTATGTTTTTAGAATGGTTGTCAAAACTTATACCTGTTTTGTTTAATTATTGCTTTAAAAAAGATTCCAAGTAATCTTGCTCTTTATCTGTCTTTTTTTTTTCTTTCAGTTTCCTAGTAACTCTCAATTTTAATAATAGCTGGTCATAGTCTTGTTGAAATTGGAATAATCATTTAAGATATTTTTAAAAAGTTTATATTAGTTTTAATTAGGTTAACAGGTTAGTAACAGAAAGATCACAGTTAACTGTGGTCTTTCTGTTAGTAACTGTAGTTATGAGGGATATATTATTTAGCTAAAAGTGTAATTTAATAATTTACAATGTACAATTTTAAGCTTTAGCAATAATAATTGCATTTATTATATTACCTGTTATATTATTTAGAATTATTATATAACTAAATAACATTTAAATACTAAATTATTATTCAGCATAATTTACGACTACAAACTATATTTATATTATACTACTTATTAAAATTATACATTATATTTATTATCAACCACATTGTTTGCTTTTTTCTGCCTAACCGCTTGCTTTTAATATCAAATGCTTTTACAAACTTTACTTACGCATTTGAGTTTCTTTAAAACACATAGTCATGGCTTGAAGAGTAGCATCGTCAAGAATTGTTGAAGTTGTTTGTGCATCTTTAAGTATTACAAGTGCTTCTTCGTTATGTCCCATACGAATTAAAGCAAGTGCTTTTAATGTCTAAAAATAAAAATCATAAATGATTCATTACTGAAATTATAATAAATAAGATTTGATATGAGGTTCAAAACATATATAAATGTGTATACTTTAAAGTACTTAACATATTTTAAACATACTTTTAAAGTACTAAACATATTAAAACATATTTTTATAAAGTAATAGATCAGTGATAGAACACTTGTCATTACAATTAAGAACACAATACAATCAAGAGATTCGAAGTTTAAATGTGTTTAAGGAGTTAATAGTTAAAAAATAGTTTCAAATAAAAAAATACAAAAAATAAGTAAACAATAGGCCTTAAGGAAGTGAACTTAATGAAAAAAAAAAGTTTAACTACATACAAATGAAAATTTTTCTAAAACTGAATGCGATAACTAAAATGCTGATGAAACTTACAACAAATTACAATCTTTTCAATAAATTTATACCAAAACTGAAAATAGTTGATATAACAGATTGATAACAGTTGATATAACAGTTGATATAACAGATTGATAACAGATTGATAACAGTTGATATAACAGTTGATATAACAGATTGATAACAGTTGATATAACAGTTGATATAACAGTTGATATAACAGATTGATAACAGTTGATATAACAGTTGATATAACAGAAACTCTGTTGTTGTTTGTATTTTTATTATTATTTGCAAATTAATTCATTACGTAGAAATATAAGTCTCAATCATATATTAAAATGTGTGAAAGCAACCAAAAAACTTTATTTTAAAGAAGTTTTTGTTTAAGAGGATTCTTTTCACTAATGCAATTAAATATCATTATAAATTGTATATCATTATAAATTGTATATCATTACAAATTGTATATCATTACAAATTGTATATCATTACAAATTGTATATCGATATAAATTGTATATTATTAATAATGAAATTTTTAAAGACTTTCCAAAAGTCTCTAAAACCTAAAACCTCTGCATTTTAGTGTGATGAAAATTGAATTCCTCAATAACAATAAGATTGTCTGAAGGATAAGAAACAAATTGGAAAAAAGTGCAGTTTTGGGAAGGAGGATAATAAAGCACAAAAAGGTTATTGAATGAAGAGGAGCCAAGTGAAATTACATAAGAGAACAATTAAAGAATGTACATATGATTTTGCAACAAATAATTGAATTGCATAAGTATATGTATAGGCCAAGCATGTGATTATGGAATCTTTGCGAATTAAAAGGTATTAGCCATAAACTCTAAGATATGAAGATGAAACATTTGAGTTTAAATTAGTCTCCAATTAGAGCAAGAAGGTCTGGTGAATTTAAAACATATATAGTGCATGATACCCCAAGCAATAAACTAAGCAGTTGCCTTATTCCTACTAACCAATCTTAAGTCACAACAAAGGTCTTCATATGCAGTTTCAACAATGCACACCAAAAGCACTAACAAGGATTGCTTTTATGCAAAACAGTTAATACTCTGATTTTTGCAGCTGTTGATGCAATCAGCTATTACTCTGAAAGCTACCACAGAGTTTAGAAATCCTTACCAGCAGCCGCCTTCGGAACTATTTAACCTAAACAGTTTTAGAGCTTATCCTTATTAGAAAATAATCGGAAGAGTTGCATAGCCATTACCAAGGTGGCACAGGCGATAACCCATCAGTAGAGTCAGAAAGATTCAGTATTAATCATACGAGACAGAAGACAATGTAAAACAGGTTTACATCTAAAAAAGAGAGCAGGACCAGTCAAAAAAGACATTCTGCTTACCATAAAAGTCTTTGCCTAGGTTTTTACATTCTTGGTTTAGTTAGGAATGAAGTTGGGATTTGAACACAGCTTTTTAGATCTTTTGAAAAGCTTTCAAAAAATACGCAAAAAAGTTTTTGACAATGGAGAGACCAAAAAAAACTTTACTTAGGCCTTCTCAGGAGACATGTGCAGTCGCACGCTTTGAATGACCACGTATATATTTTTTTTTGTTGAATACTTGGCCGCAATTTTTTTGCATATATTAAAAATGGTGCATTTTAAAAACGCGCGGGAAAAACCAAAGTATTTTTCATTCTTTATTAATAATGTATTATTATAGTTATTAATGAGAAAATAAAAACATAAAAAATATATATATATGGGCAAATCCATTTTTAACTTACGTTATCAACTTAATCAAATATTTGCCTATTTAAAGTTTTTATTAAACTTTTAGCTGTTTTGTATGAAAGCTGTTAGTCTAATGAATAAAATAAGCTAAAAAAGTTTTGAGTCTGGCTAAAAGAAGGCGAACTTAATGCTGAAAATGCCAAAAACTTATGTTACATGGAAAACAAGGTAAAAAAATTGCTTCAACTTTTAGGTCTGATTTCTGCTAATCAGTAAAGCAGTTTGTATTAGAAACTTTCACAAGATGTTGAGAATTCTATACCAATTTAAAAAATATATAAAAACCTACCAGAGTTGACTGGCAAAGGAAAATAAACTTGTTTTTTTGATACTGTATATTTTACTTACGTTACATCACTTACATTATCGATCGTTAATTTATATATATATATATATATATATATATATATATATACATATATATATATATATATATATATATATATATATATATATATATATATATATATATATATATATATATATACATATATAACAAAGTTTAAAAATTTATACCTGTACTAAAAATAATAACAAACTACATTTATTTGAATTTTGCTTGGAAATATTAACTTTGAAACTTTTATACAATCTTTTATAATGCTTTTGTAAAACTGCTATTTTATTTTAAATTAAATAAAAACTTTTAATAACCGTTAATAATTGTGATATCTAGAAATGCTTCTGTTCTTTAAATTTTTAGTTTTTAGAAACTGTTAACTCTGTTTTTATCACTAAACTCTATAGTTGTTATTCAATAAAAAAATAAATGGATCTTAAAATTATGATATAAAATGTTATTATAAACCCATATTGTTACTATTATTTTTATTATTATTTTTACTATAAATAATATATCAATTATCATAAATCAAAACTAGAAAATTAATGCATATAGTTTGATGTAATATTAAAAAACAACTGCATATCAAGTCAGTCTAAAGGAATTTAGCAGTGATCAAATATTTTAAATAAAAGAAATTGTGAAATAAGATATAAAATACTTTTATATCTTATTTAATATTTATATCTTGTTCAATATTTTCTTATAAATCTACATTATAAATTAAAAAAACCCATCAATAAAATGCTTATAACTCATTAAACACAGATATATAAAATTTAAAACATTTAAAAACATTTAAAAACATTTAATTTAAACTGCTTACAGTTGCTTTAAAACAAAACAAAACAAAATCTAATAACTTAATTTTAAAATATATTTTTTTTATTTCTATTTTTATTATTGATTAACTAATTTATAATTTAAGACACTTTTAAATAAATAATATCTCAAAGCTTCCCCTTAAAAAAAAATGATTTTAGCGTTTCATACAATACACAAATAGCTTTAGTATAAATTTTAATTGGTTGATTTTTGAATTGTCTCGCAAATCTTTAAGACCTTTAGTAATTATTATTTTTTTCCTATAACAATTTTTTTATTTATAATGTTTAAATTACCTGGTGCCTAAAATATTACAAAGAAATTTCCAAAAATTTTTCAAAGAAATATTGTAATTCACAATCACTTAATTCAAGCCTTGAAAAATAAAGATTGTCTCTGCACTTGGAAATCCCTTCAAAAAAATTTAAACCAAACATAAGATTAAAACATGCTTAATTGGCATCTGAGTTTGTTACAAATTTAAAAGATTTACACAAAAAAATTAATTTACAAAATTACTTTAATTAATTAAAGATTCTTAAAAATTCTCAAAAAAAAAAATTATTTTGCAGTGTTACATTTGTAATATTTCAACAACAGTGTTACATTTGTAATATTTCCAATATATAATAACCAATGCTAAAAACAAACTTTTTCTAGTATTTTTCTAAATTTCTTGAAACAAAACCTTCTGCCTAAAACTATGGTATTGTACAAAAAACTTTATTTCTGAAAAAAATTAAATTTAATTAATTAATTTTTCAACATTTAAAAAAACTTAAACAACAGACAAACATTTTACAGGACAAGTAAAATAAAGTAAGAATATACCTTTGCACATGGAAAATCTTTTTTCTTCTTCAAAATATTATCAACTAATTTTATGGCTTGCTTGTTATTCAAGTTGTCCAGTGCATCTAAATAAAATTTTTAAAGATCATTTAGGTTTTAAAACTTTGATAACACTTTCTTAATATTCAGAAAAAATCTGTAAAACATATTTTTTATCCATTTATCTATTTACTTTAAATTTAAATAAGCCCCTTTATTAGTGTTCGAATTTATTCTAAACATTTTGAAGGCAGAAAAACGCACTTATTAATATCCAACAATTCATATTCAACATATAGCTTGGAGGACACTGTGATAATGGCTAGTTATTATAATATTTTATTGTTATACTTGGTATGATAGTTATGTAATTTCACTTATGTAATTTATTACTGCTAGTCATAAGCTATTTTTGTATAAAATTTTGTATTCAAGAATTTTTGTTTATGTCAATAAGTTGTAAATAAAATTTAAAAGAGAAAAAGAGTTTATAAAAACATAAACAAAGTTGCCATATCAACAGACACTTTAGTTTTAACTAATTTCAATTAGTCTCAACTTAACTTTTTACTCTACGAAACATCTTAATCATAGTATGGTTACTTGCACTAATAGTAGTATGCTTGTAAATTTTGTTTGAAATAAGAAATAACGATGTAAATTTAAAAGATTATTTAAAATTAAAGTCATAACTCCTTTTTTAAATTTGTTGCACAATTGTAAAAGACAAAAAAAAAAAATTACTAATTGCTGTTCAAGATTATTTTGCCCCATTATATCTAAATTAAATTTAATGATGTGCCCAGTATCAGCGTTGAAATATTACAATATAGACACTTAAAAACTCTAAAAAAAAAAAATTAACCAAAACAAATGCTCAACTTATAAACAATCAATATGTTGTCCAGGATGAGGTTTAAAAATATTTCTAGAGCAAAAGTGAATGTTCATATTTGACAATTGTTCTTTACTTTATAAAGAAAATATTTCTTAAACAAAAAAAGATGTTTAAAGCTCAACCCTCATAACATGCCTGGTATAGAATACATGAGGCCTTCTCGGCTTTGGAAGGTGAATTTACTTAAAATTAGATAGCATCACAATTATGTTCTTCGATTTATCAACATTAGACACTATTTTGCACAACTCAAACTCTTGACTTAGAGCTTAGTGCATGAAAAATTTATGCCATAGTGGATGTAGTGGTTTTAGCATTTACTTCATAACTGAGAATGTTCTGAATTTGATCCACATGATGCTTCTGGTAGCGCTACGTTAAGCATCTTTCTTTGTGCAGAACCATTGTTCATCATGTTTGTATTTTAGAGTTATCAAATACTATTTGCAAGAAACCATCTCTTCAGGTGGGAATACTTTCATAATTATTTAAATTTTCTTGTTTCACACCACATTCTTGAAATTAAAACACAAACTAGTTTAGCGTAGTTTCAACCTTTACAAAATATATATTAGTCATGATGAGACAACATTTAACCTTATAATAATTTAACCTCGAAAAATCTTTTTCATTGTTGCAACATTTTTTACATTAACACCTCTTTTGGATGACTTTAAACTGCTTTTGGATAAGTTTATTTTTTCTTTTAAATGACTTTTAGCATCTCTCCTTTGCAAAGACTTTACAAGAAAATATGTCTGCAAAACTTTTATAAATGTTTAGGTTATAGAGGTTAATTAAATTGTTTCTAGATATTTCATATCAGAACAATTTAATTTTTGTTAGTTAATGACAGGGCAAAGAATTACTTAAGTTAGATTTTGAATTTAACGTTCATATACCTTTTTTAAATATTTGATTTGATTTTTTATGTCACATAATTTCTTTTAGACTTTAACAATTGCATAATAAAGTATAACTACATAAACTTATATGTTTTTATTGCAAAAATTGTCAACATTTGAAACTTTTGTTTGATGCAGTGCTTTTAAATATAAAACTTATTATATTCTTGGATTTTTTTTGAAAAAAAAAAAAAGATCCCATATTCAATTGAGGTTGTGCAACATAAGATGCAGTCCTGACACAATCTTTTTTTCTAAAGAATGCAGAATAGCATCATTATTAATGTCAAATATGAATCCTTATCTCAACCATTTCATTCTATTTATACTTTATCATCAAATATTATAACATTTCTAGTTATAAAAAACACTTTTACATTGATCATAAAAATATTTTGCAATTTCTAAATTTTAAAACATGATATAAAACTATAATTATTGTTAAAACAATGGTTGGAATCACCATTTGTAAAATTTTCATAAAAATATTACTTTTTGTGTATGTTAATACACATTGTTAGTTATACAAAGTTATATTTAATACCTATAAAAATTCTATAATGGCAATACTTTTGTATTTTATTATTTTATCTAAGACTTAATTTAGTACTCTGTAATAATTTGTGACAAAAAAAAAACTATACAATTTATATCTTTTCTTTTTCTATCCATATATATAAAACTCAATCCTATGAGCAGATGTTATTTGGAAAGATGCTAGATTTAAAAAGACAAAGAGAATGCATCATTCAAAGTTGTAAAACAAAATGGTTAGGATGTTGATAAAAAAAAACTAAATAGAAAAATAGGTACGTATAAAGTTAAGTAAAAGCAGGGTGGATTGCTCATTTTAAATAAATTCCCAGTCTTGTAGGATTTACTTTTATTAGACAAAGGCTAGGAGAAATAAACTCTGACTTTATATTCTCCTTTTTTGAGAGAATCTCCTAGATTTATTTTTAAATAATTATTGAAAGTTTAAAACCTTGTATAATGTTAAATATTTTGGCTTCACAAAGAGCCTTATATTTCATTAAGTTTTAATCAAACCTATGTTTTGATATCTTGTAAGAAAACGAGGGAGTCTGATAAAAAACAACTTATTTTTTCATAAACATTTTTATTTTATACAAAGTTTAAAATATGTAAATAGAAATTAAGTTATGAAACTATTAAAAAATGTAAAAAAAAATCAAATTAAAAAATGAAAAATAAAAATGGAAAATAAACAAACCGTATACTGGACGTAGTCGTCTTTCGTCGACTTCCACATGTGATTTGCTGGCCGCCATCTTTGAAATTCCAGACGGGGCAGTAACCTTAGTACAGTAAACTCGGTGTATAGCAAAACTGCTAATACTTATCGAAAAAACTTAAGGTTTATTCTTCGATCAAAAGTTGAAATTTATGTAAGATTGAAGTTATAACTTCAATTTATATAAATTTCAACTTTTGATACAACCAATACTCCTTGACTAACATTTAGTCACAACTTACCTGATAAATAATCAGTATTGCGAAGATTAAGACTAAAAGCTTTACCACGCACGGTACTGGGGTACCGTGCAAATAGTATTTAGTATATGGTACATTGATTGTATATGCGTGTATATTAAAGTGAGGCCAACTTTTAAAATAATAAGTACCTTTTTGTTGGTGTTTTTTTGATTTTAACTTTATCATTCTTTAATCTTCAATCTTTTAAGTTCTTGCAAACATATAGAATAGTATTACTATAATGACTATACTTCTAAAAGCAATTTACTAACTTAAAAAGATCAAAGTTTAAAAAGCATTTGTGTTAATATCAGTTTAAGTCAATAATTAATTATGCTAATTATTGAAAAAATTCACACGTTGTAATTTTTGCAACATAATTACAGTTACGTTTTATATATGCATATATCGTCGGTATACAAGGGAAATGCATTAAGTCCATTTTTGGCACTATGGAGTTATTTATACCACTATTTAGTATTTTAAATTCTCTCTCGTTTGATATACCACAAAAATTTAGTAAATCGATTATTAATGATTTTTTAAGAATTTTTATTTCAACTGTTACACAAAAACGCATTATTTTAAGTATTACGCAAAAACTTATTTGTTCATTATCTCAAAATGATATTTTGGACTAAGTGCATTTCCCTTGCATACCGACGATATAAAGATTCTTGTAAAATGGTAATAGTTGACAAAACTACATTTTGTATTTTTCTGATGAGCTGTTGTTGCCATTATTAATATATAATATATATATATATATATATATATTATAATATAATATATATATATATATATAATATATGTATATATATATATATTATATATATATATATATATATATATATATATATATATATATATATATATATATATATATATATATATATATATATATATATATATATATATATAAATAAATATATATATATATATATATATATGTGTATATATAAACACACACACACACACACACACACTTGAATATGGTGTAATAGACTGTAGTATGTGGCTTAAGTCCTCTATATCTAGAAATTTCTTTTAGAGAAAGCGGAAAAGTAGAGAAATCTCTACAAGATTGTAATGAACACGCATTTATGAAAAACATTTTATGTTTAAATTAATTTGTATTTTTTGTTTTTTTTTTTGTTTTTTTCTTGAATCGTGTTTTATTTCTAATTTCTTTTAAGCTCGAAAAATTTTTTCAAGAATTTAATATTTAAAATAATATATATTATTAGATAATGTATATATCAGTTTGCGTAAAATAGCCATGACGGCCTTGTTCTAAAAGGCTTGTATTTGAATTATTTTGAAGCTATTTATATGTTACATATGCAATTTTTAGTTTTAAACTAGATTTAAAGAAAAAAATTATAATTGTAGCAACATTACATGCAAGTGTTTTCTATAAATAACTTCAGAGATATGTCTTAAAAATAAAAATTGTCTGGTGCGGAGAATAAAAATTAGGGATTTATTTATTCCCAGGCTCCGGAAATCCCAATTTTATGTAAATATTCCTTATTTGACATTAGCATAAACATAAAAATGTTTGGAGTGTGTGTAAAACGTTTAAACTGTTTAGTAAAACATCTAAAATTTTGCTTCGGTATTTTTCGACTTCGCTTTCATGTAAAGTAATTTTAATTTGAATATTTTTGAGTGCTACAACGTGTAAATAAAAAAAACAGTTGATAAATTCACTTCAAGCTAAAAAAGGACTTCCAAAAAATTGGTCGTTGAAGAGATCTTTAAAAAAAAAAGAAACATTCTGGCAATGCAAACAAAAAAATTGGAATATAAAGTATTCTGTTCAGAAAATTGAAACTTTATCTTATCTAACGAACCATTTAAAACGTGACCACAAAAAGGTACACTAAAAAGCATATAAAAAGCGCACATCTACTTCAAAAAAAAAAGAATTTCGATAACATAATAAAAAAATCATCAGGCTCCTCATTTAACATTTTATTGAATCTTGAAAGTTATTTTAAAAAAGTATGATTGTACAGCACATAGATTTATAACTGAAGACGGAAGATCATTTGAGACAGCTTCTGAATCTGGCTTTATAAATTTAGGCTCGGTGTTTATTCAAGGGCAATACCATCCACTACACCCGACCAATTTATCTCAAAATATTGGTGCTATGGTCAATGACTTATATAATAGCTTCCAACAAAGTGTAAAACGGTAGTTTAACTCCAAACCTAGCATCAGATTTAATTACTTTAAGGTCTACTGAACTTTTTGTTTTTGTATTGGTTAAGAAAAATGTAAAAAAAAAAAACTTTACATGACTAGTTTAACAATTCAGCTTATATAAAGTTATACAATCCACCACAGGTTCATAAATGTAAACTTGTTTTTTATTTAGTTCCATTTGCTATATAGTATTTTCCGTTTTAACGAGTAGTATGATGAGGGACATAAGAACAAAATAAGCAAACTGAATTATAATAATTGCTCATCGAAAGTATCAAAATTGATACAGATGCAATTTTTACCTTAAAAGTAAAACTCATTGCGCAATGCATTAGTTAAGCATATTCCCAATGCTGTTTTATTGTAGACTTAAAAGAAAAAAATTAAAGTTTATTATGTTTTCTTAAATAAAAATATCACACTAATTATTAAAGATCGTCGTTTTTATACTATTAAAATTTGATAGTTTTAAAAGTGCCCAGCCAATATTTGATCCTAAAAAAAATGGATTTTTGAACATTCAAAAGACGACTTCTTAAGACCAAATGCAGCCTAGGCAAAAACAAGCCTAAGACAGAATAATAAAGTAAAAAAAAAAAAATCAGGGGAATACATACCATAGATTAGGCATATAAAAGAAAACTATAGCAACGAAGCAGGATACAAATTAGATAAAAAATTAAAACATGCATTCGAAAAATATATCCGTGCAACATGCTTTGTATTTAGTAAAGTATCATGCTCTTTCTTACATTACGTCACCGCTGTAAATCAACGACTAAACACAGTGTTAACCAGAGGCTTGTTTCTGATGAAAAAATTATAATAGTTATCACCAGTGGCGGATTTAGTATAGGACGTGAGGAGGGCAACCTGCCCCCTCCCCCCCTCCCTCTAGAACGGTCTAACGGCGCCCCAAAAAACAATCTATCTAACCAAGGTTTTTACAGAAATTATTTAAACTTTTACTTATCGGCTCACATTTGGATAACAAAGATTTATATCCGATTGTTTTAAATTTTTGTAATCTACAATTGGCTAACCATTTCCAATTTATTTTAAGTTTTGAATGCGCTTACGAAGAGTTTTAACTTCAATTTAAACATACTTATTTTACAGGGGCAAGTTAAAACGAATTACTAAACTAGTTTTCATAGGGTTTTGAAGTGCGCCATCCCAACGGGTATAAACATTCTTAAGACATCTACACAACTTCTTATAAGTGTCACAAATCCGTAGGACATTCTTGCGACACAAAATAGTGACTATGCCCATTATGTTGCTTTTTATATATATTATTATCTCTTAAATATTAGCGCATATGGTCAGAATAATAAATCCAATTATGTGTTTGTGAATGATAAATCAAATCATGTGTTTATCCAATTATGACTTGTTAAGTCTCGTCGTTTTTCTGTGACTGTTCCTAAGTGCTCCAAAAACTCTTATTAGTCAAGTTTTTTTCCTCAAAAATTATAATTTGCAGATTGCAATTATCTTACTATATAAACATCATATACATATATAAACATATATATACATATATTTTTAACAACAAGCCTCAATATATACTTCGATAAATCAATGTTTACAAATCTCTAGTTTTGTAAATATGTGCCGATTTCCACAAAAAGTACAAACATAAACGTTACTGTACCACACATATTTACAATTCATTAAAAATGCTAATATTGGTATTTTTAATAACTCGTAGTTTATAAAATATATCTCTAGCTAAAAAAGCATTTATTTAAAAAGTGTATAAAATTCCGTCGTACCACTGGGCTGAGAGGGACTTGCTCGCGGTTGTCGTTGAAAATATATAATCTGTATAATAATAAAAAGAATAAAAATAGCAAATTTAAAAGTATTGTTAACCATTTTTAATGCAAAATACATTGTTGTAGAGGATAACTCGTTAGAGACGAGAGAGTTTTAAATAATAATGTTTATACTTTTAAATAATAATATTATCCTTATTCAACACACTACACTAAGACAAAATCTGAAATTTACATTAAAAAAAGTAAACGCATCACTGCGTTTCTATTTTAATGTGACGTTCTAATATATATTGTATATAGTATTAAATGCACACTATTTTTAATAAAAAGCAAGTAATAAACTAAAACAGTCAATAAATGAATTAGCTAAAGAGTTCTAAGTATTCTGAGATAATATGCTAAATTATTATTATTTTCTATTTAAAAAAATTTCATTGTAAGTTATTCAAATATAAAAAGTAATAATAACTAAATTATTCCTTTCAATACGTCACAGCTGTATACCATCAACTAAACACAGTAAAAACCAGAGGCTTGGTTCTGATAAAAAAATTATGATAGTTATCACGTCGAGAAAATAAGTTTAAGCAGAATATAAAAAATTAAAATTTAAAGCTTTTGCGACAAAATTTAGTTTCCTTAGCAATCACACATGAAACGAACAACTTTTTATTTGTATTTTTATTTATAAACGAACAAGCAAATTTTTATTTGTATCTAAAATAAGTTTATCACATCCCGAATCTTCTAAAAAAACGCGAACCGCATCACGCAGCTAAACTCGATTAATTACAATTTCTAAGAATTACAACCCTACTTGAACA